ACCCCCACCCCCGATCAAGCAACCAAGATGCTTTTACTGAAGGTTGGTCATGGCGCCCTGAGAATTCTTAATCATTTGTTAGGTATTCTAGACAAACGCCAGTGGGGTTTCCTTTAGGCAAGCAAAGAATAATCTCTGACATCAGGGAAAGCGTGCTGTGGTTAACTGCACCACTTTTAGAGATAAAGGGCGTGGGTGTTGAAGATACAAAGATTAGAATGGAAGCACACTGTCACCATACAGAACATAGCATATGACATCACTGGAAAATGATAAAGTGGAAACCATTACCAGAGATATAGCTTGCAACAAAAGCAATGCTGTGATCCCTTAACTGCTCATATATTTATCGTCATATAAACTTTCATGGATGAAGGACCACTTACGCCAAATGCTTGGATAATATATTTTTTAATCTTTCAGGGAATCACAAGTGTTGAAGGGCTGACAAGAAGACTGTTTTTGTTCCAGCTTGGCAGTTCTTAGTGTTTTGGTAGATATAAACATTCAAAATTTAAATGGCTAGCTGAAAAGGGAGGCCCCCTTTCCTTTGTGAAGCCTGAATGAAAGCAGTGCTTGATACCTGAAGCTTCTCCTGATTGCTGGTACGGATGATCGAAGTGACTATATCTGGTAGAGCTTCCCTGGGTAGATTGTCCAACAAGCGTCTCAGTTTTGCCACTGCAGGGATCGACATATCCAGCATCTCAACCAGCTTTGTCAAGGGTGGGAAAAAGAATATATAGCAACATTTTAATACTGGTATTCATTCAGATCACTCAGCACTATAAACCAAAACTACTGGGTAGGACACCAAAGGACCCATCTGTTTCCTGAATTTTAGTTGTGCCAAGGTCATTTGTTCTGAAGGGATCTGCCCTAACCAAGAGAAGAATGGTCAAGAAGTCTGTAAGCTCTGCTGTCTCAAGATCTGAAGGACTTCTTTCTACATCGTTTGAACACCTTTCAGACACAACTATCCGCAGAATTCATGCTCTTTGCATCAGTAAACATCTTCCTCCTAAGGGCAAGCAGCAGCTGTTTGAGCATGATGATCGAAACCACATCTTCAAACAGCTTTATCAGCAAAATAAAGAGATAAACCTCTTATGCCGTTAGTCAGAAAAGCAAGCAGTTGAATGCCCAGAGGGCTGTCAACATAAAGTTATGAGAACCTCTACGCCTTCTTTCCATATACAGAACACACAGTGAAAAAACTGTGTACTGAATTTTGCAATCATGCCTAACTAGATCATTTTATAATGCATTATCAGGTCAAGTTTTTTTCTAATAAATTTTGCAAAGGTCAAATATGCACACATTAAACAACAGTTGATTTTTGACATCCACAAAATGATCATTTGAAGGGTGCTTTGCAGTTGGAAAGTAGACACACACATACTAGAGCTAACATGCTGACCTAGACCATTACTCTATATACCCTACAGGTGCTCTGAAGGCATATAAGAATGTGTATGTTTACATGAGATTCTGAGTAAGCTGGCATAAAATTGTGCATCTGTGCATACAAACATGAAACTCCCTTTGCATGTGTGCTATGTATTTTAATGTGAATGTATGGAAGAATGCATGTATGATAGGACTGTTGAATTCTTTCCTTGTATACTTATTGTTCTAAAACTGGAATGAGATGATTATCACTACAATAGGGTTGTGGGTATACTTGTCAAAATTATTTAATCAACAGTAATAAATAATAATTAATTAGTTTAAGTCAACATTTGTTTTGGACCCAACCACTCTGGCATGACCTGACCTCTTTCTGCAGCTCAGACGAACGTGTCCTCCTCAGCCCAAATGCATGAGAATATTTCAACGGGAAAAGTGAACAACTAACACTGCGTCAGCAACAAAGCACGGGCTTTGCTACTGAGCCACAATTCCTTTAGATGCAGCGATCATGGTAATTTCCCCAACAGATATTTAGATCTATAACTCCCATTTCAAGGCACTTAACCTGCACTGCATATTTATAGAATTGCTCCGACAGCTCTCCCAGCTCCTCCTCAGATGAAGACTTGTTGGTAAATTGTTCTAGCCGATCCAACTGTTCAACATCAGCAACGGGATAAGGTTTCTCCTTCACCAGCTGCAAAATCTGGAACCTGCAGAGGCCAGTTAACAGCAAAGTATAATGGGGCTTGGGCCAGTTGCTGCCAACCACCTGTATAGCCAGTGCAGCTGTGCCAATCCTGAAAGTACCAAGAAAGCAGGTGTTATTTGCCACACCACAATAGGGAACTGCTTGAACAGGAGTTAAATATCCATGGAGCTGTTCTGTAAGATGTTGTCCTTGGTAATGGGGCTAACATTATTACGTTAGCAAAGTTAGTCCTAACCTTAGGAAAGACCTAAGGAAAGACCAAAATCCTTTGAAAAAGAGAACCAGATGACTGGATTCCTGTTTCAGGCAGGCATTTTTGCTTATCCCTACTTAGAGATGCCTGGGACGGAGCATGGAACATTTTGCACAGAGAATTCTTTCAACCATTTGAACAGATGAGGCACTTGACCATTTATAAGCCAAAACTCAAGCATCAAAAGAAGCAACACAAACGTGCAGGGAAGAATTCAAAGTAGGGAAGCCTTTCTTCACTGTGTTTCTACAGCCACCTTTTTGCTGAAGAAGAAAGCTGTTTTTTAAACCCATCAATTAGTTGCCTTCTCATCAGTGGCAACTTTAGTTGTATGGAGTGTTCTCCTTACATCCATATGTTGCTCCTTAAGAGCCTGGCCTAGATAAATGCCCACACCCATCTTCTCAAGCCACTTTCAGGCACAGAACACGTGACTCTCCCACACTCATTTTCCCACACCATTTCGTTTAGATCAGGGTTCCTCAACCTTGGCGACTTTAAGATGTGTGGACTTCAACTCCCAGATTTCCCCAGCCAGCCTGGCTGGGGAA